CCTACTAAGATGGAGACACTGAACACATAGATTTAAGAACAACAGCAAATCCTAAAGTAGTTTTGAGATACTAAACCCACATTATCTGTAACATCTAATGGTAATTAAAATCCATATATATATACATTAAGTATAAATATATTACAGTTTATGGTTCTCAGGTGTCAGGGTTTCAAGATTTTTTTTATTCTTTCACACAACATAATTTACCTTGTGTTTTCATGACTATCACTATAAATAATTATTCTAAACCTCTAATAGACACGAGTTTTTGACAGAATAGGTGTTAAAAATACTGTATTACTGTAATACATATGTTGTCTGCAGCACTATACAGAATACTTCAAATGTAAGTGAATCATTAATCATTGTATAGAAATCCTAAGTAAATTTAGGATTCTTGTAATACTATCACTTACTGTTTCAGAAAACTGTTTTTTAACTTCCATTCTAACAATATCATTCAGCTTATCCTTAGCCTGAATAACTATTACTACTTTAAAATATACAAACAAGTGGAAGACTGACAAGCTACTAACATCAGATATGTTAAAAAGAAACACTAACATTTTAATTAAATATAGTTTTCTTGCTGCAGTTCTCACACACTAAATCACACAAAACAGGGCAAACCCTAGGATTAGAACTGATTAGCCAAAAAACAGAAATAAGTTTCATGTACTAACCTTCCCAAAATTTGACACATTACATTGATAACAAGACTATGGCCACAAGAAATTAATTCACATCTTTAAAAGCTGGCATCCAGCGATATTAAAAAGTCTCTACGCATCTACTAATCACTGGAAGTCAAGTACGTGATACCAATCACTGCTCTCTTTAACAACTCTGTAAAGCAAACTTCTGACAGAGAGGTGATGGCAATCTGCCACCAGTTCCCAAGAAGAGTGTCTGCTTTCAGTCACATCACTGTATTGACACATTCAAGGGAAATTTGGGGTGCTTCTGGTATAGTTAGTCATAATTCAACAAACGTTTCAGCACCAAAACAATGGTGGCACAATGCTTCACATTCCTTATGCCCAAAATGCTCTCACAGACATCCATAGGATTTCTGGAATTAATGCAAAACCAAATCTCAAGCAAACATGTTTTGCAACCCCAAATATAGCGAGTTTAGAAATAGTTGGTAAAAAAAACTGCTCAAGCTTGAATTTCTTTTTGCCTCCAAGTGCATGTATCAACCTGTGGGCTGAAAGGAGTGGGAGACTAGAACATGGCTAAGTTAAAATTGCACCTCATCACAAACAGGCTTCACTATTTAATAAAGATGCACTTCAGAACCCCTCTCCAAAGCAATACCAACCACGAACAAGATCTGCGCTACAGAAAGAACCTATTTTAAAGCCTAGCAGTCAAAGCAGCGGGTGAATTGAGATGTGCTGCAATATTTATGCAGCCATTATAATGCAAATGGGTAAGATATTAGAAAGGCTATTTGCATCGGTGCACAGCCCCTTCAGTCTACGTACAATGCCAACAGAAGGAACAATTAGGATGCATGCATAACAAAAAGCCTCCGACCACAGGGTAGGCAGGTCCACTGAACCGGATACAATACCTACGGGATCAACCGGGCTCCATGGAAATACTGCCTGTTGGATCGCACCATACAACGTGTTCATACTTAGAATATGAAGCGTTCTTAGACACAAAAGCACGTAGAGGATTAGCATAGCAAAGGTAAGAGCAAGCTACAACCAAGTTAACTCGAGCACCAGTCACATGTTTCACAGGACGAGCAGTAGGGCTGGAGCACAGCTCCTCTCTGCAAAACCCCACCACCAACGGACAAGCAGTAAAACTTTCAACCAGGCTAAAAAACAATAAATGAAAACGGGATACATACTTTCCTGTGGCAAAAAAAAAAACTCTCCGGCACTTGTTGTAAGACAAAGGGAGGCAAGAGTGGAAATTAGCATCCAGTGAACATCCACTTTGAGAACACAGACTATGCTTTTGCAGAGAAAGCAAAAAACAAACAAATAGATTCAAGTATTTGGGGGGTTGTTTGTTTTTTTAACATATACACCTTAATGGTAAAACAATACTAAAAGAACCAAGTATACAGGCATGCCAGACTCTTTTAAGAAGTTCTTTGACCGCACATCCTAGTATTCATCTACACCAATTCACAGCCTCTTAATATATCCTCACCGTCTACAATTATATGATGGGCTCTGTTCTCCAATGCAGAGCAATACTGATAAAGAACTTCTTAAGCTGCGACAATCTTAAAACAGTCTGAAATTACTACTTGGTATAAAATCACTTTTTAAAAAGTGATTATAAACTGTATATAATTTCTGTACAAAATATACATTACCTAGAGGTTAATGATGGAAAACTTGTTAGTAATTAAAATTCCCTTTTCATCCAGAGACCTGGATATGCTGAAAATGCCTTTACTGAATCAAATCTGATGTCGCAGAATTCCCAGATTTCATAGGACGTGATGTGTATTTCACAACACAGTCAAGGCCAAGCAGTGCAGCAAAAAACAAGCAAATTAAGGGCAATGGCTAATACTGCAAACATTACCTGCTTATTATAACAACCTGTTACATTTTATCCCAGTCCATTTTGTAACACAGAAAGACCACTGTATCAAACAGACTAGACTATGTCAGCCAGCACAATTTTCACATAAACAAGGGTTCTTTTTATCTGTACAATCAGTTATAACTGGCTGTTCAATCTTCACTACAGCATCCTCCCCAGCCCTCTCACATGCACACAAACCCACCAGAAAGGGAGAAACAGAAATATCTCCTCTGAGATGCAGTTGCAGGCCGTAAAAATAAATACAAGGTATTACGACGGCAGAGCGGAAAGCAAGCGCTGCTTCAATTAAAAGAGCATCCACAAAGCTGTCGCACAGAAAGATGAAATCAAAAGCAATGAGCCTCGAAGCATTTTGGGTGGGAAATGCCATCAGCCAAGCTGAGCAGGAGGGTAAAGCGGTCAGGACGTGGGTACACGTTCCTGGCTGGGGGCCAGGAGCTACCCTGCACCCAGAGAAGCACAGAGCCACCCAAAACCCATTGCTGAGGAGGGCAGGGGCGAGGGGGCATCGCGGTGAGCCATCCCAGGGGCTGCAGCAGGCCATGGAAAGGGGTAAGTGCTGCCTTCCCCTCCTGCACACACAAGTTTTCATCTTTCTTCAGACAAGAATGAGAACCTGCTGCTAGAGAGAAACATCTCCTTCTTATCACTCACCCAAAATCTCCACAATGGCATTTTGGAACCACTGAGATCCCTCAACGCAGTTTTATTTCTTTATTATCACGTTAAACCTTCCCCAAGAGCGAGCTTTGTTATTTACTGGGCTTCCTCAGCCTTGTCAAGAAGGGATCACAGAAGGTGACCCTTCTCATCCCAAATGCACAGAAGATACTTTGACAGCCCTAATTCAATTAGCACACACGGGCACATACAAACACCTATTCCATGGGGGCCATACACAGGCCAGCAGCCGCCAGCTCACGCGGTGACAAGACGGGACCGCCACACACACCCTGCTCCAGCAGAAATACTCTTTTCTAGAAAGCCACAGCCAAGAAACAATCAATCCAAGCGTTTCCTAAAAGGCACATGCACAGCAATGATCTTCCGAGCGATTAATTTCTGCACACAGGCTAACAGTGCAGGAACACAGCTGGAGAAAATATTCCTCGTCCGAAGGAATCCCTTCAATCACACAGAATTCCTGGAGGAGAATACACCCGATTTAAGTGTCAACATAACAAAGGAACGCCCCTCCCAGCACCTCCTGCCTTACAGATACGTTACGCTGGAAAGGAAAAACTAGATCGGGAAGAGCAGCTATTCGCAATCAGCGCTGCTCATCGACCCTAACCTTGCCATCACCCCTAAGAAAAAATGCTAGGGGTTGTTTAACGTTTCTAGAAAGAGCAGAGAGAGGGACGTGGAAGAAGACAGCGTCCTCTTTGAGGATCCCTCGCTATTCCTCAAAGGAAGGCTGTGGACACAAAGGAGAGCTTTGTCTGGACTCATGTTTCTGTATTACAAGATTACATGTAAAATTAGTTTTGCCTGATGTACATGTTTTGCCTTGCCACACGTACAGAAATGCTGACAGCTGACAAACAGCCTAAAATTAAAGGAATCTGGCTTCAAATTAGTACAATAATCTCCCACTTTACTCATCCAGAGCAAAGAATAATTACATAGAAAACCAAAATAGTCAAATCCAAATCATTCAACGGGAATTAAGAGGATAAGGGTGTTACTAAAATTAAAATGTATGCACAGCAGTGTAATAACAAATTCATAAGATACAGTAAATCTTTCCCAAAACCAGGCTAGGATTATATCAAGATCACCATACAACATATGCCTGAAATATGTCTGTAAATAAGTGTGACTTAATTTGACCACCACCTACTTCAAGGCCTTGATTTTATAAATAGAAGTATACCATAATGACTAGTGATTAAAAAGAAAAATAAACACACATACAGTTTAGAAGGTAAAAGAAATATGTAAAGTCAAATGTGCAAAAAAGAAGCAGTAGAAAATTAAGACCCTGAAGGTAATTACTAAAACCATCTTAACTTCTATTTTGACAGTCAAAAAAAAATCCCAAGTACTGCAGCAGTGACAATACACATAATTACAACTCCTTGATCACGCATATTCTGCCTCAAAAGTGTCTGCACACGTGCAGAATTTTATGCTTCCACAGTCCCATCTCAAATATACAACTTAAAAATTACCAGTACTATTCTGGTACTTTGTAACTGTTTTCTCACACACTGTGACTTTTTTATTTCATGTGCATACCTGCTCCTAAATAAGATGGACACGTCAAGCAGCAACCCAGTTTCACCAAACTTCAGTTCTGCTGAATTTTCATATAGCTCACACCCAGTCGCAATTTTAGTCAACACCCTGAGCCGTTCACCTTACTAAGGTTACTACAGCTTTTGAGGCACTGCCCAGAGAAAGATACGTACAACTCGGTGAAAACGCCTTCTCCGGCCACAAATACACGCGGGAAGCTGTCACACCGCTTTTCTCCGTCACACCTCTCTGTTTTAAATACCGGGAAAATCACCTGGCTAGACAGGAAGGCGACGACTTTTGAAACGAGATTCTGTCTCTCTGGCTGCACCAAACTGCCACAATAAATGCATCGTCTGAAACAGGAAAAGAGCCTCACGCCTGTACGAGGGTGGGGGACCGCGCTGACACGGGCAGAGCCAGCTGTAATCATTACCCGAACGCCGGTAATCATTACCCCGAGCGCCACTGCCACTACACACACGACAAGTCCCTCAAATGCCTCTTTGCCAGCTCCCGGTACCGGGACCCGGCGGGGAGGAGGAGAGGTGAGGCTCCGAGACGGAGCTTCCTCCTTCGCTTTTTTCTGTTGTTGTGGTGGTGGTGCTGGCGGCGGTCGATGCCGTCGCCCGGCAGGGCGGGGGAGCGGGGCAGCCCCTCCGCCGGGGCCAGCGGGGCCATCGGCTGCCCCCCTTGCCCCGGCCCCGCCGCGTCGGGGCGGGGGCGGGCACGGACACCCCACCGACACCCCAGCACCCCCACCTGCGCCCCGGCCCTCCCCGCCTTTGTGCCCGCGGCCTCCCGCCGCCCCGGCCCGCCGAGCCCCCCGCCCGCCGAGCCCCCCGCCCCGCACCGTGCGGCTCCGCCATCCTCCCGCGGCGCGCTCGGCACCCGCTGCCCGCCCGGCCCTGCCCTGCCGGCCACCGTCTGTGCGCACCGAGCCGTCACGGGACCGCCCGCCCACGGCCCTCCCGCGGCTCTCGGGGCGGGACCGCCGACACCGAGCGCTTCCAGGTTACGGCGGAAGCGCCGCGTTGCCCCTGGCGACGGCGGGAGCGGGGCCGTGCGGGATGGGGGCCGTGCGGGAGCGGGGCTACTCGGGCTGCACCGCCGCGCTGCCGGGCCCGCTCCCGCGTCCCCCGGGCAGGGCTCCCCGCTGTCTGTGCGCTGATCCCGTGTCCCGCAAGCCCCGCACCCGCCGGGCAGCCTGGACACATCCCGGCGGAACCTGCCGTGGTGCCACCGCTGTCGAGATCCCCCCCGGGTGAGGGGGACAGCCCCACAGCTCCGTCGGTGACTGACTGCAACTCGAATTAACGTATTGCAACAAACAGGAAGTGTTTTCCTGCCATTCCAACAGTTTAACTGGAGAGTTTGCCCCCAGCACAGGCGGGATCAGAAATTCTGACACAGTGACTCCTACAAAGTCTCTGTCCCCAGTGCTGTGTGTTCATGGCATGGCCACCCTGCTCTTGCCGCGAGTCACCTTTAGGTACTGAGACGTGGCCAAAGAGATGGACCGGGGGACTGTGACACTCCCGCATTTCCTTTCTCGACAAAATACTATCCCTAATTGGCAACTACTATGATCGCGGACTAATGTGCTGTTTTGTCTGTAAGAGATACCACAACCAAACTGCCCTTGCAAGGGATATGTGGGAGCTGCAAGAAATGGCAGCAGCCATTCAGAAGGTGACAACCATACCTCTGTGTAGACAAGTACACTCAAGTGTGGCAGAGCATCTGTGATCACTCGTCCTTTGATTCTGGATGGGATTTTAAAGCAAGTTCTTTGATGACTTGTTATAACAGATCTTCCAGTATTTTGCTGAGAAAGGTTTAGCTTTTTAATGCTAAATTCTCAGGTGGTTGCAATCAGTTCCCCTTTCAAACCTAGATATATTCTGCACTGCAGTAGTATCTTAACTTTCTAATTTCTAAGACACATTCAAGCTAGTGGGAGTCTACTAATTGATCTCAGTACTTGCTGGTCTGGACTGGTCCCACTGGCTGACATTTGAAAGGAACAGCGGCCACCTCAGCTGAATCAAAACCATTTGGTAGCCATTTCCTACATCAGATAGTCAAATCTGAAATTTTGCTATTTCCATCAGGTTTTTTACAACTTTTGGCAACCATCTAGGGTGATTTCAGTGAAACAAGGCTTACCCACATTCAATTTTTTGGGTTCTGCCAAATCCCTTTGTGTGAGTCTTTGGCAAACCAGGCAGTTCAATGTGGTTACATGCGGTTTTACTAATAAATTATGCAGCATTAAAAGCAGAATTGACTTTTTGGCATAGTGGGTCACAGGGCAGAAATCAAGTGTAACTTCCTAGTGACAATATTTCTGACAGTAACTGGATATTTATTTGTTGTTATTACTCAGTAAAACTTCAGTTTGAACAGCACAAAATCCTCTACAAGACATAGAAATGCACGCTTTGCCCTGAAAGCTTGGAATCTGAAAGGAGTGTTTCTTGTGTGACTTATTTGAACACACTCTTCTGTAATAAAAGACTGTAGTGTATACTCACCAGACGTAGGGAGGATCTGAACGTTTTGTTGACTATGTACCTTTACATTTCTCAGGCTCTTTGTGTGCAAAATGCCACTGCCCAGTTGCCTTAGCATTGAAGTATTTACAAAGGGTATATGTTACTCTGGTTCTTTTAGAGATTCTGTTTCTACCATCTTTGCTTACAAAAATATGATTTGAAAACTGAAAAAAAACGTTGCTTTATACTCAAAAACCCTGATTTACTTTTTTTATGACAAAACATAAAAATGAAAAGCTGATATGAAGCAGAGTAGGACAATTGTCACTCTACAAGGAATCAGCCAAGAAATTTACACTGGTAACTCCACCCTTCTGCTGTAATCCTTTAAATATGTCAAATGAGATTAGACCAATAAATACTATGGTAATACTTGTGCCAACAATCAGAACTAACAGACATTTTTGCAAAGGCAGAATTCATACACACAAGATTTGTTTTTAATCTGCACAAATGGAGTAGTTAATTTTATACCCTCCTACTGGATGCTGGAAAGCTCAGCTCCAACCTACTCCCAGTCTCCATCAGTACTGTTTGTCCCCAGATCTCACTGGTGCAGAGCTGTCCCAGTGCAGAAGGTGAGTATGAGAGTGACAACCCTTACAATTTTTAGTTAAGGGTCTCAGGATCAGGAGACTATGCTGACAGACCTATTTTGAACCTTGTGGTACTGTGACTGAGTACCTCTCCTTAAGATAACTCCACAGACAGCAAGTCAGAGGTTCCTCAGTCTTCACTGCCCCAGAAAACCCACAGGACTGTGCAAGGACCTTGAATCACTGCCATACACAGTGAAATGAATTAAGGTTCTGAATTAAGGTTTCACTGGCAATTTCATTTGGACATTGCCTAACTGTAAAGGCTTGGCTTCGCAACCTTCCTAATGTTCCAGTAATACTGGTAGCATTTCCTGTGTTCCTGAAAAGGATGACTGTGAGTGCAAGATCATGCAGCATCATGGCACCTCCGTGGGTCATCAGCCGTGCTGACACCTTGGTGTGCCCAGCACAAACTTCTGTCCCTTTTAATCAAAGAGAAGCGCAGCACAGGACTGTTATCCTCCATCTAGACCAGCAGCAGAGGGGGATGACTGTTGGAATTTGGATTATTCAATGGATTCATAAGACCATTCCTAAGGCTATTTAGTATTTACACAGTTGTTTCAAGCATATTTCTACAAAGCAGTGTGATTTATTAAGAGCTAGCTCTTACACAATGAACTAAAATAAAGCAATTAATTAGTTAAGCTTGCTTAAGCCAACCACAAGATCAATCTAGCAACTTCAGAATCATCTTTGACTGAATTCAGATTACCTCTGATATAATAGTCCCACTTGCCTTTTCTTAATTTAGTGGCTGCCAGACTAATGAATTGACCCTTTCTCTCTTGGTCATGTGGCCTTTTCACTACCTCCTCCCAACTGTAAAATTTTTGTCATGTAACTACAAGAAAGCCTGCTCTCCTCCCCCAGGCAGGCAGCTGCCGCTGCCTTGTCCAAGGACACTCAGCTCCAGTCCTTTCTGTACCACAGGCTGGGGCAGACAGCACAAGAAGCAAATTCTTTGCTGGCTGAGCCAATATGAGGGCCAGCCTCAGGGAAGCTCTGTTCCACTTCCAGCTCTGCAAGTCAGGATGTCCCAGCGAGCACAGCCCGTCGGGCCCCTTTCCACCCACATACCCCTCTGCTCTGCCCTGTGCGGGGCTGCTTCCCACAGCTCTCCCCTGCTACTCCATTACCTTCCCCTTTGCCTGTGCCTGGCCTCCACTTTCAGAGTTGGATCACTTGTTCCTTCCCCGGGCTGCCTCTCCTTAACTTCCAACAGGGTCTCCGACTTTGCTTCCCTATGCCAGGTCCTAGTTAAGTCCCTTACCTGGTTCTCCATGTCACTGCCTATCCCCCTGACTTTCTACACTCTTCCTTCTTGTTTCTTGTACTGACAAACTGAATGCTGCCAGTTCCTTACCAGCCAGTCTCAGCATTAAACTCCTCTAATTCCCAGTTTCTCTTTCTTTGTGTATCTCAGTTTCCCTCTATCCCATCTCAAATCTCCCAAGTTCCCTGTTCTAGATTTATATCTTCTTCTCATCTACATCTCAGTCTATCCAGCTCTTCCTGCCCTATCCTATCCCTTTACCTTTTGAATAATTGCTTTACCAGAAGTTTGGCTTCAGTCTCTTAGCCAAAGTTTGTAATGAGTCTCTCTTCTGGGAGAGAGAAGCATGTTTTGAAGGCTGATGGCACAACAAAGCCTACTTCATTTTGTGGCCATCATACCCATCATGAAAATAGTGCATGCCTTTGTCATTCTTTTCTATCTTCCCCTTGATTGTCACTTTGGCTCCACTGCCTTTATTATGAGTATACAAAGACTGGGAAGGCCAGACCAGTTGGCACAACTCAGAAGCTGAAGGGTAGAGAGGAAGGCACAGAAACCATACCTGGAGGATGCACGTGGACAGTCAGAGCCCTTGTCAATACCTGGAAGCTGATATTCCAGTGGAGTGGCTGACACCAAGCTGTGTCCCACTGAAAACAGAGACTGCCTCCCCAGAGCAAAAGCTTCTGCTTGGGGTAAGGTGCCTTTGCAATACAAAGGAGGATGCAAAGAAGGGGAACCTCAAAATGTGGATCTCTGTTGAAGGATTCAATACAGTAACATGTTGCTTTTTTTCCTCTCTGTTCCTTTTATATGTTCAGAACTAGGTCTGCTTACTTGAAGTTATTTTTGCTTTTTTCTCCATTTTTTTTTCTACAAAGCAGATGTATGATAAAAAGACTGAGTACTTGTGTTCTCAAAAATAAGCAGTATGATTTATGGGTTTAGAACTTTGTGTAAAAACCAATTTTTGTCCTGCCAGCTTCAATTTTCAACTCATTAGCCACCTATCTATGTCTGTCAGTAATTTTTTTAAGTGAGCTTCCTAGGTCTTACAGGACCTCTTCCAGGTGGAAAGACAGGGCATATCAACAATAAAACAGCACATCCAGAATGTCACGCATGAAGTTATTTTCTCTTATTAACTTGTATGCACACAAACTTTTTCCAGTATGCATTGTGTCCTAACTGCCCCTGGGCCAGCAGTTCTTCAGTTTATTTAGTTCAAAAGAAAACTGCAAATCCAGCAGGCTATCAAGAAGCTAATCTTCAGTTATACAGATGGAGAGTCAACCAGTTCAAACAATTTATCTTTCAAAGTCAACACAACAAACAACACAAACAAGCAAGAGCTTTTTCATTCACAACAGACAATAAACTGTATTTTTTTAGTGTAGCTATTCTATACAGGATAGTATCAGCTGTTAGAAACTCCTACTTTTCTCTGCAATGAAAGACAGGGCAAATTAAAGGCTTCAGTTGCCTGTACTTTAAAAGGGGGAAAAGGCCAGAATGAAAAACTCAGTTTAAACTCAAACAGATGCTGATTATTCCAGCTCCAGTCAGGGCATTCCTAAAGAAATCAACCTTTCTTGACTTCATTCTTCTGGTACTTGCAAATCCATTTCTGACAGCTCAAGGTAACTCAAAAGGACAAAGCAGGATCCAACAGGACATTCTGTGCTCTGTTACACAAGCTTCTCCTAGCTCAGGTTTGCAGCACCTGAATTTCAGCAGGCAGTGGACCTACCAAGGACTAACCATGTCCAGCAGTAGTGTAAATCCTACAGTTAAGGGGCGAGAGGGGATGGGTATTCACAAAAGCTAGTTTACATCTACAGAGGTTGAGTTTTGTCTGTAGTCAATAAGATAAGACTGTGCTTAGACACTCTGAATCATATTCTGAAGAAATCACTTTTTCCATTGACCTCATTCAGACCCTGGGGAGTTGAGCTTTCCAAGGGAAAAGCCACTTCCTCCCCAGGAAAGTGCATTCAAGTCTAAGTGGCCCTGGGTTCACCAGCTCTTGACATGCCGCACGTTGCTTTTGGACTGAGATGCTGCACAAGTGCTGTGGATCTGTGTGCCTGCAGGTGGTACAAGGCATCTCCTACCACTGTACCTGTTTCATTTGGCTCTTGTGTCAGTCTTCTAAAACTGGCTGGCACCAATAATCTGGTATGGTGTGGCTTAGATTTCATTTACACTGCATGTTGTTTCATGCCTTCAAAGGTCCGTGAAGATTAGTACCAGGCTGACTGGTATGGCATGGTATGTAGGAATGCGAGTGTAGCCCAAGTTTTCCTCTGCTGAACTTCATACAAGGGCATATCCTGACTCTGTTCCACATAAAAGAGGGAGCAGGCTTCCACTTCCCTGCGTTTCCCTCTGACCTTCCAGTTCTCAACAGTCACAAGAGTGGCAGTGTAGCCCATCCTTCTAAGGGAGAACCTGACAACAACCAGGTCTGTATTGGATCATTTTCAGCTGATAAAGGTGTGAAGCCGAAGGAAGGAGGCTCCCACAGTGTACAAGAAAGGGGAAAGGTCTCTGGGAGTGGTGGCTTCAGGAAGGCAGAACAATTTTATTACAAGTTTTTTTGAGATTGCTGTAAACAACTCAACTGGGTCCTAAAAGTGACTGGGAGTGGCAGCACGTCCATGCTGAGCTGTGTAAAACAGCTGCCCCGTGCCCAGGCACGTATCACTGCCAGCAGGTTAACCAAGGCCATGGGCAGAGGCAGTTTTACTTGGGATTACATCTTGTCACTGCTGCAAGCTCTGCTGTCTGAAATGTGGGAGAAGATGAAGATCGGCTGAATAGGAGAGTCCCCAGGAAAACAAACAAACAACCCACATTCACATTCCCACAAACAGAAAAATATTCTTTAAAAGTAACCCAGGAAGAAAAAGTTTAGTTTGAATAAAATACTTGCCTGTTGGTCTTAATAGCTGCAGCTCTGCTATTTGCTCTTCCTCTTCCAGACTGTCAGCAGGGATTGAGTGTTCTCCTAGAACTAGGGATGGGTTTCCTGAGTGATGACAAATAGCAGTAAAACCTGAAGTCAATTCCAATCCTAATATAAATTGCTCTTTCCTGCAGAAAAGAGGGATGAAAAATAAAACAAATCAGAAAATAGTATGTAATGAGTAATCTTACAGTTCAGTTAGAGGAAGTGAGAAGAATCACCCCAACAATGATGCTGGCTCAGTTAGGGAGCCAGGCATTATAGGGAGTACACCTGTAGAGGAAAGTTTCAGCCGAGGATTTCTTAAAAAAAAAAACCAACTGAAAACCAGATCATTCAGATCTGGCAAACAGATATTCCAAAAGGACACCATGACACTCCTGCCCAGAGCCATGAAAAGCAGAGCAGAGCGAGTGCCAGCAACCCTAATACTTATTATTATTGTTGTATGGCAGAAGAGGCTTGATCTGTGTGCAGGGGGCTGTGCAAGAAGTGTTTCGATTCAGAGGCTGAAAGCTAATGTAAGGCCAGAAAACTGACATACATTTGTCACAGACACAGGGAGCATGAGGAAAGAAAAGCAGTCAGTGTGCTGCCAAGTTTTTTTATAGACCATACGGACATGGAGAGTGTTGGAGAGACCTCTGAAAGATTATTTTTTCAACACACATTAATAAGGGCCTGCTTGCAAGGCTGGGAGGAAGCACAGATATATTTGAAATGGTAGCAAGTTGGCAGTGGGACTGGTCATCACAAGCTGATCTCAGGAGAGAGCTGACATCCCGGTAATAGTCTGGAACAGATGAACAGGGATGGGCTAGGGGAAAGATGGGTCTTGAAAAGGAAGGCATTTGACACACACAAAAAAGAGAGAGTTAGTAGACAGAAAAGAAAGAAGCGACACAGAGCAACAGGCTAAGAACAGTCCTGCATTGTGAGGACAAGGGCTTAGTTATTCAAGAGTTTTCTTTCCCTCTCTTGTTCCTCAGAGGGAGGAGTAGTGTTTCAAGGCAGAATAATACAATCGTTTGTCTGTGTTAGGAAATTTATGGTTTGACTTTACCATGTGTTAAAATATTGATTCTCTTTCTAACATATGCTTTAGATATTGACAATAGTTTTTCTATATAGAAGACTGACTTCTGCATACAAAAGGTAGGACTTCATCACAGGATCCAGCAAAGCTGAGTAAAAACAAAGTGATGTAAGTGAAGCACAAGTCTAGAATTTTTTCCACTCAATTAAATAAAGATAGCAAGAGAGACACTGAGCAGTGTGTGGCAGTAAGAAACTGGAATAATTAAACAATAATATGACAGACGGTGCATTTACAGGCAATTACAGCATGCCTCTGCTGGCACTCCGAGGCACAGGGCCAAAGACTTAAGCGATTCAAACCACACAAGTAGAGCAGTAACCTCCTAAAAATGCCAGGATAGAGCATTTGGCCTGGGAGGCCAGGATGGGACTTACATGTAGTCAGGCCTCTGCATTTACCAGGTGTTAGCAGGAAGAGCAGCCTGTTAAAAAGCTGTTTTTATGTCTCTTAGATAATAGATTTCCAGGCACTTTTACATACATAGCAGTGAAAGAAAAATCATCACACTGAATAAGGTCATCTCCTTCTTGAGTTTTGCACACAGCTTGAGGATCCCACTGCATCAAACGACAAACTTAAAATAAGCATATTCTGAAAGCTCAGCTAAAAGAAAACACTCATCTGTCAACTCCCTTTCAAAAACAAGGACTGGGTTAAACACAAGCTATCAAGCTTCTGGCTCTGAAGGCATTCGGGATTCTTTGGGATTCCCTCAGGGAGTCACACCAGGCTTTCTGTTCCCCGCCTTACCCCACCCAGTAAACCCAAACCACCTTCCTCCTCCTGTCTCTGAAGCTGGGCTCTGTGTCCCATGGTACCACTCAGCAGCTTAAGGAGACAATTGCATGAAATCTGCACCTGTATTTCTGAAAGCATTGGTGTGCATTGTTCAACACGGTCACAGCCATGCTGGTACACTGCACTTCTGATCTCCTCAGCACATACAGAGGTGAAACACGCTCTAGGTTTTTAGAAGAGAAGAAAAGAGAGAGAGATCTGAGTGGAAAACAAACACAGATCAGGTGCTGTTAAAAGCTTCTTAAACTGTCAACAAAGTATTTACTTAAACTCCTAGAGAAAGTCACCTTCAAGATGGGCAGTTCTCATCAAAGTGGCTTTATTTTTAAACACCCTTTGTCTGGAGCTACATGATTATACAGGACTCTGAACCAAATTTTTGTTTTTTAAACTAAGGACTTGATTCCAGACTTTCTTGTTATATGGAAAACATGGAAAACATGAACTTGAAAGGCTCAAAAAGCAGAAGGAAAATAAAAAGCATTTAAAATTTATGGAGACAAAAACCAAGCCTCATAAACAAATGGGACTGGCAACATTGCTTCACCTAAGTGCTTTTTTCTTCTACTTGGTAGATGTTTCTCAAGACTTGAAATAAGTGTTGTTTTGTATCTGCAGGGCTTTCAGCAAGTGGCTGCCAAATTACGAAACCCTCTGGATTCCAGCAATGCACATCTCTGCTGTCTGCTGCACTCTGGAGTATCTGGGAAGAGGAGGAGGAAAACAAGCTTATCATTTATAAAATTATTGCTGCTTTTGTGGTTGTGAGGCTCTCTGTAGTGTACAAGAATAACTTGTTTGTGACATCAGTAAAATAAGGATGTGCAACCGAGAGCGCGTTGTCCTCTCCATGGATGCCACACTCACGTTTTCTCTCACATGGGGTTTTATCTGAAGTCTCAGGACTTGGGAAGCTGCATGCCATGGGGACACAACTTGAGACCTGGGCATCATTTTGCTGTGGTCTAGTTCTGACTTCTCCAGCAATGTGGGGTGACACTGACATAATGCACTGACTCGCCCGTAATTAGAAAAGTCACAGCTTCTCTTGTTGCTTCTTTTCCAACAAAACAAGGGAAATTATGTCCTCTATGACATGCTTTTCCCTCTTAAGTATAGCTAATACCACTCTAGTGGATAAATCAGTCTTACTCAAAACTAAACCCAGTACTGTTATTAAAGCACTTTGAAAAGTAGGATATTGAGCTGCAGACAATGCCCCTGCTTCTCTCCTTTCTCTCATCCAGACCTCCCAGTCCTGAAGGTGGCAACTGTGGGGTTTTTTCCCAGCTGAGAGAGGTGTCTTAAAAGCAGACTTACAAGAGAATGTTGAAAACAACCTCCACAGTCACGCCTGTCCCAGTGCTATCAGCTTTCTAAATAGGCTGCCAAGCTGGCGTTTGAGTCACTAAGAAAATGGATTTAGTATAGGATGCCAGACTCCATTTCTCAGTCACTAAAATGCTCATGTAACAAATTGAGTTGACCATTGTTTCTTATCACCAAGCAAACAAACCCCGTTGGCAGGAAAACTGTGTTTGGAAAGTGATTCCCTGCATGACTGAGAAGGGCTCCAAATGCCCATCCTCACATAATGCTGGACTCCAGGTGGTCATTAGCACTGTGAAGGCCACTGGCAAAAAACCTGGCCTGCAATTTGATTTACAACATCTTGCTTTCAGTTAGTTTCTGTTGCTCCACAGGCCATATTTTTTACCACAGGAATAACTCTTGGTTTCACAGTGTGAAACAACTGGCTGTCTCTTATGTTCACTTTCAGCCATAGCCATATCTAAGACGCTGGATTGGTTTTTAAAAACAAACAACTGCCAAATTACTGATCTGCAAATTGCACTTACTGTTTAAAATGCCCTGCTCTACAAACATCCATCATAAATCCATCCCTAGTCCTTTCCCTTCCACTCAGTATGAAATACTAATTGGCACACAGACTAACACATCAGACAAAGAATCCCTTCCCAATGAAATCAGTAGGAATACTTCTGAGCACTTCAAAGGGTAGAGAAGGATGTCCCAAGCGAGCACGTCCATTTTACAGCATCATCAACGCCAATTTTCTGACCTGAGAGTGGAATATGTGAGTAACAACAGAAAGGGCCCATTTCTGCACTGCCCGGGACCAACCCAGAAGTGTTATCTTTGGCCAGCTCCACAAAAGGCAGGAAGGAGGAGACCCACTCTCACCCTCTGCGGGTTCTGCTGGCCTTCAACCCAACATCAGGCGAGGCTTCCAGCGAGGTGAAAGCGGGTTACCTGAGGGACCGTCAGCTTCCTACTCGAGGTTGCTTAGAGGAAAAAGGAAATAGTTCTGGAACAATGCAGACAGAGACTTTAAATAACTATCAGAGAGGTGTCGCTTACTGGAACATAAATGTTTTATCACGGGTTTATGTCCCCGCAAACCTGAGCCTTGTATCCCACAGCTGACAGGTCCAGTGCGGTGCCTGTGCTTGCAGACGGGAGCATGCTCACGGCCACCAAGGCAGAATGGAAAAGAATTATTAGCACAAATAATTTTCTCCCTCGTTTTACTCATTCACAGCCAATCCCTGTGCATAGCAAGAAGCCAGCTCTCAATCCTAGAACAATTAAAGGAGTTGTCACCACCTGCCAGAGCCAGGTTAGCAGGATTACCAGCCTGCACTGCCAATCCCCAAGGCACACAGTGTGTGCCGGGCACACAGGCAAGCTCATTAGCAAACTCCAAAATTACAACACGTCCCGGAATCGGGGCTTGCTGGGGCATCGCAGAGGCCCAAGACAGGCAAATCCCTGCCCGCAGACACCGGGTCACACCGAGGCTCGCCAGGGGGGTTTCCAAGGGAAGCTGCTCCCAGCGGCAAAGATCTTCCAAAAGGCGAACCTTTCCTCCTGGGGGGCGTGGGGGATCCCGGTGCACTGGCCCATCAGGTTCGGTGACATTTAATCTCTCGGTGTTTAGAAAGACACCGGCTTTTACTGCTGTTTACATGTCAAACAGGAGCGTGATTCACGTCGCGAATCCCGAGGCGCTGCCTGGAAATGAACACCGGGACACGTACGCCCTGGCCACGCCCGTCTGCTGGACGGTGTCTGCTGGGGATTTTCTTTAAAAACCCATAAAATAAACCATAAAAGCGCCCCAAAGCCCGGGTTTGAGGCGAGCGGGGGGAGGCGCGGCGGCCCCGGCGGGCGGGCAAGCAGCGGCTCGCCGGGGCCGGGCAGGCCTGCGCAGGTGGGACGGCGCCGCCCCAGCGCAGAGCCCGGCGCAGCCGAGGCAGGGAGCGGCACCCCGGCATCCCGGCCCCGGGACAGCCCCGGCGGAGCCGCTCCCGCCCCGCCCGGCGCTGCCCCGGCGCAGCGCCACGCCAAGGACTACAATTCCCAGCGCGCACGGTGGGAGCCAGCGCTCCCGCTAGGCCTACCACTCCCAGCATGCACAGGGCCACATGCCCAGCGGGGCGCGGGCGTGGCTCCGCGCGGAGCGCGCTGGGAGCTGTAGTTCCCTCGCGGGCGGTCCCGCGCACAGCCGCCATGCCGGAGGGGACGGGAGCGCTCCGGGAGGTTCTGCCCAAGCAAGGTACGGCCCGCGGGCGGGGCCCGGCTCGGCTCGGCTCGACTCGGCTCGGCTCGGCCGGCCCGGCGCTCACGCACCGCCCTTCTCCCCCCCTCAGGGCAGCTGTCGGTGGAGGACGCGGCCACCATGGTGCTGTGCAAGCCCAAGATCCTGCCGCTCAAGTCGGTGTCGCTGGAGAAGCTGGAGAAGCTGCAGCGGGCGGCGCTGGAGGCCGCGCAGCCGCCCGAGGGGGCCCCGCCGCCGTCCGCGGGGGCCGCGCCGGGCCGGCCGTAGCCCCGGGCGGGGGGCGCAGAGCCAGGCCGCGCCTGGGGGGGCCGCTCCCGCGATAGAGGTAGCGCTTTGTAACGGGGCCTGCGGATTAAAGTCTGGCCTGGAACGCGGGAGGTGGTGCTGTGCTGGGGGAGGCCGCGCGTCGGGTGCTTTTCGTGCAGAAGTTCCGCTGGTCGGTTCCAAGGCGAGGTTTTAAACGCGGCTTTAGAGGTACCACAACCCCCCCGCAGGAGCGGCTCTGGGACGGCCCCGGCCTAGCGCGGGAGGAGCCGAGTTACACAACCTCACTGCTCTGAGCGGGGTTTACCAGACCCGCTGAAGCAGGGCATCCCTTGTCCCCTGCAGCACATCGTGTTCCCGGGCTTGGAACAGCTACTCCCAGAACTTTTGAACACCTCAGATCTTGACATGAAAATTGAAAAAACACAGGAGAGGCTCCACTCTGTTCCGGTACACGAGTCTTCCTTAGATCCATCTTGTTGTTGAGCAAGGGCTTGGCAAAGCTGTGCTGTACAGACACGTTCACACCATCTGTGCCAGCCTGGACGCTCCTACGCCAGGCACTGGTGTTTTCAAAAACAGATCTGGTAAATACTTACCATGAGTTTAATTACTCAGTGCTCTCATGCTGATTGCAATACCAAAGGGTGGTGTTAGATGTACTGCTGAATTGCACACGCTTCAGAGATCTGAACACAGTTAAATACGTTTTGTTTAAAAGAAATAAAAAGGAGGCAGAAACAAGAGATTCACAAAAAATATTTTTAATATGTTTTACCAGAACTTTTCACTTTTCCAGTTACATAGAAAAAAAGACGAGTTTGGTACACAGGGGGTAAAACCAACCAGTGTTTTCCCCTGAAGCAGATGAATTTATCTTTATGATCCAACTCTTATTTTCTTGGGCTCTTTAAAACAAAGAAACTTTTTTTTTTTTCCTCCCAAAGCACAGTATTTCTTCAGCAGCAATGAAAATGGGATCACAGCAGCTTAACTTGACCCTTCTATAAAGCTTTGTATAAACAGTGATTTTATGATGACAGCACTGTCCTGGAAAGAGCGCGCAGCAGTCGGACATGGATGCACATGGGGAATGATTAGGTCATAAACATGGCACATACAGAGATAGCTTATTTGAAGGCACCACCACAGCAGTGGCCAGTTGTTCTACTATTATGCCCAGAGAAAGAACACACTTCTTTCTGAAATTTACAAAACTATTAAAAAAAACCCAAAAAACAAAAAACCAAAAAAAACCACAAACCACAAAACCAAAATTTGTACCCAAAACATGTGCTTTTAAAAAAATACGAACTGTGCTAAGCAACTCTCAGATTTGGTATATTATATATGTGTATACATATATACATACACACACCGAAGAAGCATGCGTGTTTGTATATATAGATAGCTAGCTATGTTCCCTTTAAACTTGTAAGGCTTCAGGAGTCAGTTCTCACATTCAGTAGCTTTCCAGCTTAAGACGACCTCCATCTCCTTCGCTCACAAAACGCTTTCTGCCCCTGTAAGAAAGTAGAAAGTATCTTTTCAGTAACTGAGAGTAGCATTGCTTGGTTTTTATCCCTGAGAAGAACCTTCTTGGGAGTCAAACATAAGGTGTGCGAGTTCGGCAGGGTTATCAGTGATCACAGCATCAGCTCAACTGCTTAAAAATGCAAGTTTGAAAACCCAGGAATAGCAGTTTTCTACCCAAAACTGAAGCAGAAGCACACAAGCCAAAAATGCCTCTCAGCATACTAATGGTAACTGAAATATAATCAAGCTTTTGATGCAGTGATGACTCTCAACCCTCCCACACCCCAAACTTGCAAAGCATTTGATACCAAGACACACACAAACACAGTTTTAAGTGTAAAGTTCACAAATGGAGGCTGTTCTCAATAAAGACACTAACATTTCAAGATCCAAATTTATTACAAGCTGTCAAGATGGTTTAAGAACTCTAACAAAACACCCAAACTGGAAAAGATCTATCGAATAAATAGTATTCCCAATGCATAAAACTGAATAATAGTTCTAACATCACATTTAAAAATTCACATGTATTTACATGTACTCCCCACAGGAAGTGAAACAGGTTAATTGTATTGAGACCAGTAAGGAGAAAACAGCAGACTGATTAGCTACAGTTCAAACAGCATTAATTATGCTGTAAGTAAGTAAACAACAACAAACCAAAAGCACTATACAAATCACATGACAGACAGATATGAAGGATTGGGTGTATGGGACTTATCTCACATTAGTGTCCTGACATAAAGATCAGAACTGGTTGTCTCTGTTTGGTAAGTTTAAACCATTTTTTAAGGTTTTGGGGGGGGGAGTTTCCCCCACTGTAGCTGACAGTTTTCCACTGTCACCTACATGGATCATTGTGACACCTGAATCTTCCACCTTGGTGCTGCACTGATTTCTACCAAGCAAGTCAGCAATCCAGAGGAGAGGCAGCCCTTGTCCTTTGGGGAGCACTGAGGTACTGCCTGGGACTCACCAGAGGCTGACTCTCCTCAAGTATTTATCCCAGCTGCCACGTAACAGGTTTCACATCAGTGCAGCTTCATAATAAACTTTTTACTAGTTCAATTCTCTGTCCTTCCTCCATAGTTTCCACTTCCAATCTGTAATACTTGGTCACAAGATCCTGTTTTCTGTTACCCACAATAGGAAGAAAGCAGTGCCTATCTACAGTAAAACAAGTACCTTGAAGGGCAGAGGTCTCTCAGTGGTTTGGAGATTATTCCAGCCTGAAAGCATTCCTCTACAAACCGCTCAAGCACGGAATAGGAGTGTGGCACATCCAGGTTAATGTCTGGGATTTCACAGTAAACTCGTTCATAGCCCTGCAGTACAAGCATTCAAATAATGATCTGGTTATTCTATGGTTTTATTACAATTTTTAAATACCCTTCTGCACTCAGAGGATTTATTTTTCAATATGGTTTCACACAAACCCAAACCAGAGCAGCTGCCAGTCAGTGAAAAAACAAAGTATAATACCAGCCAATACCATGGTATTGTATACATGGTATCTTCATAAAAACACCAGCTGAGTTTTTAACTTCTAAAGAAGTCAGAAATCCAGACAGCACAAAATCTGTACGTTAGCCTGACTGCTACCACACGGGTAGTAACATGGGAAGAAAATTTGGTACATCTTCCATGTAAATGAACAAAATGTGGCCACAAATCACCACCACAACAGTTTATGCAGCAAGAGAAACAATGGTGACAACCAGAGATGACTTCATCACTTCCTGACAGCAAAACAGCTGGGTAAATTTTGCCTTTAAGTCCTGGTGTGGTACCCAGTTCTGTGTCCTGGGACAGAACTGCTGTCCCATACTCATACCAAGAAGCAAAGCCATGGCTGACAACTTTGTAAAACACTCATTTCTATACAGTGTTCTAATAGGCATTTGTAATTAGTGGGCCTTTATGGTACTATTTCAATTAGGAAGAGCTATCAGATAAAAAGATACATTTAAAAAATGAAGCAATATTGCAGTATTTTAAATTATTAGTTTCAACCATTTAACTGCATAAAGGCAGCTAGAAATCTTTGTATTGTACATACATCACAGGATCATTTAGGTTGGAGAAGACCTCTAAAAATTATTGGGTCCAACCACTAACCTAGCACTGCCAAGTCCACCAAATGTCCCCTCTGCAAGTCTTTTAAATTCCTCCAGAGATGGTGAATCCACCACTTCCCTGGCAACCTGGTTCCAATGCTTGACAAACATTTTGGTGAGGAATTTTTTCCTAATGCCCAATCTAAAGCTCCCCTGGCACAACTTAAGGCCATTCCCATAAGCAACAAATTATTTGTATGGGATACAGAATGGTCATGGAGAATTCAAAAAAAACCCTAGGAGTCTAGTGTACTAGTACTTAAATGAAGGTAGAAACTATAGAAATTTTGGAAGACCTTACACAAAATTCTCTAAATGCCATACTCACTCTTTTCATTTGGTCCACAGTAATGACAGACGACTTCCAGAGAGTCTTCAACAAATCCAGTATCATTTGAAAGGTCTTTTCTCCAGTTGACTCCAAAACCAGTACAATGGCCTAAAACAAATCATGCAAGTGTCCTGACTAAACACAGTGGCTCAAGTACATGGTGTGTAAGTATATGAAGTGTAGAATGGAATGAATACATTATTAGGCATTTTCAGGGGAAACAAGTCCATTGATTACATACACTCATAATTTCAGTTTATTATTATTATTTGAAAACGAAAACTGATGAAAAGTTCTTTAGATAAAAAGTATGAAAAAACCAGGAAGGACCAGACAGAGTGAGAAGCATTACCTTTCTGTCTCTGTGTTCAGAACTACATGACTGTATATGGCTGCTGCAGTACAGATGGCAATTAATTAATTTTGTGAAATTAATTTTGTATCCATGGTTTTTTGTGTCTGTGATTTTAGAAGAACTAAGAAGTTTAAAATCTATAAATCTTCACAACCCACATCAACTGAAATGATTCAGGTTTCCTAATGTGAAGGAATTTCCTAAAATGAGTAAATTTACTGCAAAAGAAATTTTGTAATTGTTTGCATTCAGCTTTATTGGTAAACAACCACTTCCCAATTTGGCAGATAAAAGAGTACAAATGGTAACAGTCTCCCAATTAGTCTGGGTCTGAAATATCTCACAGCTTTTACAAATGTGCTAGATGAAACAATCCCACCCTGAAAAGAGAAGCTCTATAACTTAACAAAAACAGTTAACACCCATTAGAATACCCAGATATCTCAAACTAAAAAAAAAAAAAAAAAAAACCCACCAAAACAAAGCACTGGGGGGGTTTTTTGCTGCTATTCCTCAGCAGAAAACAAAATGAGCTCTCCTTTTTCAGGCATCTATAATAATCTGAATTCAACTATTTAGCCCCCCAAAATTAGCTCTGGATCTTCCCAGAGTCGGCAACAGCTTACTTGTTGCACAATGCACACACAAATGAGCAAAGCATTAACTTTACATGAAACAATTTAGTTATTCAAATACCAGAACAAGCAACCTGAGCTTCAAATTCCAGTTATATCATTTGCATGCCCACATCAAATTGATGATAATTATTAAAGGGACTCTGATTTTTCCTTACTTCATATACAAGTTCATGGTGAAAATGGGGTACTTCCAGTTCCTGAAGGCAACGCTCAGCTTCCAGTACATCTCCGGAAAGCAAATACTCTTTCAGCAACATATCGATCTATTGAATTTTAAAACAAACAAAAAACCCCAATACTAATTAGATAAATTTAAAAGCTGTCAACTGTTTTGATAATCCACAATCAAGCCAGCAGCAAGTTAGTTCCTCAAACTTGCTGCCAGTGTTTTTATAAATGTAATTAAATTCAGGCATTAATTAAATTGAGACGTTATCAGTAACCTGAAACACAGTGTAAGCCAAATACCAACCCACAGTGCTAATGCACAAGCACCAAAACCATTGCTTTATAAGGTGTGTTGTATCACCATAGAAGGTTAATATGGGTGCCATTAAGTTCATCTGCTCCCCTGAACGCCTCCTCCTGTCATCTGTTACACTCACAGCCTAGACATTTTTTATTATTTCCTTTAAACCTGCTTACTTCACAGAATGGATCCCTAAACACTCCTGTTTCTTCCTCTCTTTTTTCTC